CTCCAGATGGTTGGTAGGCTTCCTCTTTCTTGAACACTAGTTTTGAAAAAAACACTCTTCCAATATGAAAAAACTTACAGGCTTGTCCAAAAAACTTCCAGTGCTCCTTTAGAACTCCGATAATGGGAACAAGCTTTCTTTATGTACCTTTTTTTGGGCTAGAGTTCAGTAACAGTAAGAGTATCATAGACCAAACTGAGGGAAGCAAAGGAAATAAATGTAGGACGTTTTTTAAAAATATCTTGGCAAAATATGGCTCTTTATGAATCAATAATTACAGTTCTTGCATATGATCAAATGAAAATGGCATCCACACTAAGGGTGACACTAGGAATGGGAACTTCTTCAATTAAAAAAAAAAAAATTCAAAAGGGAACTGAACTGAGAAGTTCAGCCTGTGTAGCTTCTTCACTTGTCATACTGGTATTAATTCCAACAATGTCTGAATAAGGAAAAATACCGTTCTATGCTCCACATAATGCAGATAAATCAGGCTGGTTTGCTCCAGTTTTTGAATCAAAACCTATTACCACCATTTGGAGAAAGAGAAGCTGATGCAATGAAAGAGGTATCATCTAAGCAAAGAATATGGATGTTTTATGCCTAAAGACGTGAAGAAGGCTAATATCATGAAGGACCTGGTTACCTGGCACCACTGCATAAATGCTGGTGAGAAGGGCAGAGGAAGACACTCTGCACTTCATGGAGAGAGCTATTCGAGTCTTTGAGGAAGAAGAGGTATGTTCAATCTGAACCTTGAACTCTTTGGAACTGAGGGGTGGAAAATGGTAGGCATCTGGAGCTCCCTGCACTGGATCAGATGTTAGGGAAAGCTTTTTAGTTTCTCCTAGTTCTGCGTTTCCCCTACTTCAGTAGACCAATAAGGATTATACTTTAATTAATAAATAATGCTAAGAACTTTGTGGTGATGGTCCCTGACTTGGATGTGTGAGCCCATTTAAAGTCTTGATGTCATCTAAGACAGACAGGGACGGACACATTCAGTACCAAGATTACTTTTTGTTCCTTACAGTGAAGTATTTTAGATATTGATTTGAAGTCAAATACATCAGATTGAAACCTATAAAGTGCCACTATAATCTCACCGTATGCCCTCGCCTCTCCACCCCTAAACAGGGTATTCACCTATAACTAAAGGAGAATCTCCCTCCTCGTTCTTAACATTGGGATTGCAGCCGTTGAGCAGGAGAATGCGGACATTATCTACGAAGCAGTTTCTTACTGCCACCAAGAGGGGTGTTTCCCCTTTTAGAGTGGTCTGCTCCCTCGTAAAGGCACAGGAGGCTGGAAGACAGAAAAGCAGAACGCATCTGAAGGTGGATGACTCATCAAACCTGTCCTTGTCAAACTTTTTGATGGAAACCCCAAAGGACTCTGTACCTTTCAAAGTTATTTCAAGGATGTTCTTATTTCTCTGTGCTGCAGCTTCATGCAGAGGAAGCCAGTCTTGCTGATCTGCTTCTTCGAAAGCGGAACGGTGCCTCACCAACTTCACCAAGGCCTCTTCTTGGCCTGTGATATTTTCAGACAGACACATAACCCATTACTCACAATAAAACAGAATTCAGGCAACTAATATATGTGGTGTCGTCTATCCTACCAGTATATCTAGAATAAACAGCTTGTTTTGTCAAAGCTACTTTTTTCTCAAAGGGTGGTTTACGTAAATGGAACAATCAATGACTGACTCAAAGTATTTTAAATTATACACCGAAAAAACCCTTAATTATAATAGTAAGATTATCCTTATAATGCTAAAATATTTCGAATAAAATCCTCTCAGGAGCAATAGCTTAATGGAGTGTAAAAGTTTAATGTAAAAACAGATGTCCTAGCTAAATTGTAGGCAAAAATATTTAGGTTGGCAAAGTAAAATGAAGTTGATTTAACAGGGATGAGGCCTATCTATTTTTTCCCGCTTTTAATAACCAACTTACGGGATCTTTAATCAACACAAGCAATTACATTTTCAATTTTATAGCTCATCAAGCAACAGCAAAATTTTCTTGGCTGGAAAGCCCGTGTAAGCAGAGGCCTGGTTTCTGCTTATTCTTTATCCCGTCATGCCTGGGAGAAGGCAGTCTGCCCTTCTGTTAGTTACAAATATGGGATGAAGGGACAGACTACTCTCCATTTCTGCTGCTGAAGTTCTCCTACATATGGAAGAATCAGACATTCATAAAGACAGACAACAAGTGTAACTGGAGTTTAGACACATTCTCCACCATGTATGGAACATTTATAGCATTTGCTTTTCCAGAAAAGACTTGGTTTCCTGATTCCCTACTTCAGTAAATATCTTTGTCTCTATAGTATGACATGTATAAAGACTGGACTGAAGGTTTCCCACTGCCAGGCAACTGCTCAAACAACTGCATTACTTATGCCTATTGCTTAGTTATCTCTGTAATTCATTATACAAATTAACTGCACCACTAAGTAGAAGTTTCAGTGAAGCAGACTAAGACCATCTCATATTGGAATACACTAAAGTTTGGCAGTGAAGGAGTAATTCTAGAACATTCTTCACGTAGAAAAGGGACTTTAATCTGGGTATCACAAAATGGCAAACGCTTTTATGAAGTATTAATTGATTAGGGACCTTGCCATACAAGGCCTGGCATTGTCCCATAATTCCAGGAGGAGAAGCACTGGAATCTCTGAGAGGAGCAACGTAAGAACCCCTCCCATTACAATGTTCCTATCTAATAGATTAGCTTTTGGGTGTTCCATTTTCAGTTACTTTACTCCTCCCAAGATTATATGTAGAAAATATGCACTTAAAACAGCTGACCAAACAGTGAAAATGTTGGCATTGCTCAATAATGCAATACCCAGGTGATTCTTCAAGGTACAGGCTTGGTGTGGTGTGTTTGTACTTAACTGTCCGGATTGCTGCAATTATCTTTCCGTGTTCTTTACTTGCAATATAATGGAAACTGCGTAAACAGAACAAAAATAAAGTGACAAGTAAAACTTAATGTGAAGTTCAGGATATAATTATACTTTAATTTCAATACTGAGGTCTAGACTGCATGTTAGACTACTGTAAGTTACATAGGTTTTGTCAGGGTTAATATCTTAAAATGCTTCTTTTGTTGGTCTTCCCCTGCCACTACAAATAAGTGGATTTTTCACACAAAGGCCAACAATTAAATACTAAAATGAGTGAAAGCTATCATACTAATCTCTTTTTTACATCATATACTTTTCTTCAAAAAGCCTTGTGCTCATTTAGATATTGAAGTAAAATGTCACCTGAAAGTTTTATAGGTTCCATATTTTTGAGGAAATGGGTATACTTTTTCAGGGAGAACTCGGAACAAGTGACCTACCAGTGGTTGCCAATGTCCATGAGACAAGGTAAGAGGAGTACAACATACAGACTCCCAAAGGAAAATAAGGTTACTACATGCTTATAATGATGCCAAGAAAACATCCACAACAGAAGTAATAACTTAATACCTTTCAACCTCTGTCGCACTGCCGCTTGTTTCAATTTTATGCCTGTCTTGTAAGCTTTCCTGAATGGCTCGCTGGGTAGGGATTTCATCATCAGAATCATCATCAAACATGTACGTAGAACTATACATGGCAAATCAGCACAAATTGGATCACTCTTTGTACGGAAACACCGCTTTCTAACTGGAAGCAGATGTTAAATCTTAAGGTTAAATCTGGAGTAGTAAGAAGTAACAATTGCTGTTAAAGTATCAAGAGAAATGAAACATAGTTAAAAATAAGTGAATCAGAATTCCTCCACTGCAAGCTCCAGCCTTCTCCCAAATATTTAAGGTAATAAATAAACCTTTAAGAATAAAGATTTTCTATTCCAACAGCATGTTCTCACCTTTATCTCTGTTCCACAGACTGAATGTACAGAATAGCTATTTGTTCTGCTATTACTTATTAGTAAGCAATAAAAATAAGTAGAACTTAGTTTTCAGCTAAAGACTCCTTTCCTCATAAGTCTTTTAGACAATCAAACATCATCACAATTGTGCTCTGAGGTTTCCTTAGCAGGAAAACAGATGTGCAATAGGACTTGGGGTATTTTTTCAGTTTGTTCACAAAGGGCCTAGAAGGGAAGGGCAAGTGAAGGACATCAAAATGTTTAATAATAGCTTTTGTTCAGACTGTTTTAACAATGCCATCATTAGGACCGTATCTTGAAGCCAGGAAAGGATTGGGGATTTGTACCCTTATGTGCATCAGCCTCCCAGCTGAAATGACATCAAACACCATGCTTGAAAAAAAGGCTGACTTTACCACCTTATGTACATCATCTACAGCCTTTTCAAACAGAAAAACTTACAATTCTGCATTCTTCCTCAATGCATGCTTGTTTTTTTCTAATACTTGTAAGGGATACATATAAGATAATACGACAATATATACCCAAACACAGGCAGAAATAAAACACACTGGTGTAATCACAATGAAGTCAATAATAATAAAAAAAAAAGCTGAAGAACAGCATTAGTTTAAAAAGATATTGAAAATCCCAAATTGAAAGAGTTCAATTAAAAATAGTTCTATCCTTTTAAGACTGTAACACAAACAACAGAGCATAGAAATAAATCCCATTGGTACTATCTGTTATGAATGTTAAAATTCAAGAAGAAATAATTAAAAATTATTAAAGACCAATCATTAAATAGTATAATATGTATAGATGTACACTGTTAGACACAAACAGTCACACTGTTCCTTTGTATGTTCAGCTACACAGCATTCCAATTTAAAATCATAGATGTTCTGTTAGACTCAAACCTCTCCTCTGTTTTACCTTATCAAAAGTTTCACTTCTGTCTTGCAAGAGAGTTGGTCTGAAAAAAATCAGAAAAAAAATACAGGGCAAAATAAAATGTAATTAATAAATAAAACTGAAAACAAATAATTAAACAAAATGAATGAGCACAGCAAAATGAAGGAAGTTGTCAACAAGCCACTTAGAGAGGAATAATTCTAGAAGCATCTTAAAGCTGAGCAGCAGTAACTTCATAGCAAACCTGCATCATTTCATTTGTTACCTGATCCACCCAAGGCGTGATTGCACGGCCTTGCTCTGTAATTGCACATGAAGCAAAAAGGAGAAATATATTAACAAAATATACAGACAAGGAACTGTTAATATTCAGTTGTTCCTATAGCACAGTGAGTATGCAAACATTAAACCTAGACTATTTCTTTTTTGTAAAAAGGCTATTAATTTTCCTATGAATTGAGAAAATACATTGTTTTTACTCACCTTCTGAAAGAGGGAAGACCTCACACTTGGAAGACAAGATTATTAAGTTGAAAGTGATATTTTCAGGATTGAAAATGATCTCAGCAGAGCCTATGTCCATTAATAGCTCACTATAAATACCCGATCATAAGATACTCTGGGACTTTCTCCATGTTTCTTTCAAATAGGTTAGCTAGGTTTAATAATCTGACCTGACAAATCATGTCAGTAGAAGAAGAAATTAGAAGTCCCGTTTGTTTATAAAACTACTCTTGTTAAATGTTTTTGGAATGAGAATCTGAAAACTGTAAGTAGTAATTATTACATTATGGAACGCAAATTCTTCAGGGCTTTCCTAAAACAGGAGTAAACTGAAGATACTGTTACGAGCTTGCTCGAAAGGCTAGGACTGGGTAAAAATAAAAATTAAACCAAACAAAAGTAAACATAAATGAAGAAATAAAATCAAGCAACAGTTACATTAAAAATTGCTATGTGTTTCTGATTGCTTGATCACACTTCACATATAAATAGAAACAGAAAAGCAAACAGAAGATAAATATAGAGACACTTAAAGGGAAAAGCACTGTTTCAGAAAGACAGACCTGTGCTGGAAACCTATGCTGATGTAACACACCACAAGCAGGGAAATGAAGGACATAGATGCATAGTTACAACATTGACAGTAGGATGGAGGGAGTCTTACATGCTAAATTTACTCCTACCCTACTTTACGGAGGGATCCTTACAAAGAAATGATGATGGCTGTGTCCAAATGCAAGGCAGAAATAGTTCTTTGATAGAGGAGGTCTAGGAAGAAGGCTTAAGTAGTTTGTTGGTTTTTTGTTTAAAGAAAAGAGAAGTGCAGGATCAGTGAAGGAATTGAAACTGGACTGCCTCTCTAGAGCAACAGGGAACAGACAACATTTTATGGCAGGTGATCAGAAGGGAGATGTTATAATTTATTCTTCACAGAAGCTATTTGGAAAAAAAGCCCTTACAAAAATCAGATTATCTGAATTAAATCCTGAAAAGATGATTTTGCTGAGAAAGGAAGGTGCCAGAAGTACCTAGTACAGATAGTTAAAAATTTCTCATACAGTCTGCACTGTTGCTATGACAGAACATAGGCTACATGTAAAAATCCAGATTGAAATCCCAAAACTACTACTTTCCACTCACCTGACTCAGCACTCTTAATGCTTTAAGTTTATTAACTGTAATTTTTTTTTTGTTTTGTTCATAAACTCAACTAAGTTTACTATGATTTGTTTCTAGGACTTGACGCCTTTCTGTCATTCTACCACTGTTATAATAGTTCAAAGATGCATTAGAATCTGAATAGTTACTCAGTTAAAGCATAGTTGATACATGATATTTTAACAGCTCCAAGAATTCTGATCCAGCAGGCACAGAACCTCACTGCAATTCAGGTCACCTGAGATCCAAGGACACAACTCTGCAGGAACTCTCTGTATGCCTAGGCTACCTACATGCACCTTGTGCAAAGTCTAAAATCATGCATGTCTGAATGGATTCATCCATTCTCAAGAGAAAGCACAGGCAGAAAAAGTGCCAACTTCGTAAGACTGCCTATTAGTTAATAACATCTAAATTGCAACAGTTGCAATAGACAGTCCTGCTTAAGTGAATAAACAAAAACAGGAATTTACTGATCCTCCCGATGAAAAAAAATAAGAGTTATGGCAAATATCTTACTAGTGTGACAGACAACTAGCATAGCAGCTAAAAATAACCTGAACAAACTCTGCTAAATCATGTGAGGTGAAACACTGAGTCTCTGTAAGCCAATTAAAAGTTCCCAACTTGAGCAGAGCCAGGAATTCAAGTACCATGTGCTCTCCTACCCAGTTTAACTTTCGATTGAAAAACAGATTGGGCAGCACCTTGACACTTATAAAATATTTCTTTAAATAGTCTTTTCATCTAGTGCGCAATTAGAAACATCCGTGGGGAGAAAGACAGGCCTATTGTGCAGCTAAGAGGAGACAGAGCCAAGCCAGCAGGCCCAACTTACAATGTAAAAATCCTGTGTCAGATGCATGTGAATTCTGTGCATATTTGGGTACTTTGGTGAGGACTGGAGCATTATCTTCTGTAGAAAAAGGAATTCAATGTTTCAGCTTCTTGTTGAAAAGTTCACACTTCAGAGAAATTATACTCACTTGGCTTTATCCAAATGATTGGCATCATATCAAAGAGCAATCTGGGATACTGCTCAGCTAACATTCCCCTGTTGAGAGAAAGAAACAAATGAATTATTTGGGGCTTGGTGTTAAAACAAGTTTGGTGTGTATTTTTTGGTTGTTGCTTGCTTGGCTTTTTTTATTCTTCTTTCTCACTTTCCATGCATGAAAGAGTATTTCATTTCACGTCTTATTTCAATAATATGAAAAGTATTGCCTAAAATATCTAAACAAATCTTGTTTGAGCCTCAGAAAGCTTTCCACAACCATAGTACCACACTTTGTTACTGACATGGTCCTGTCCCAGAGAGCTCCGTCTAAAAATAATCCGTGGACACAAACACCATCTTCTGGTGCAGTGTCAGCAGTATCCTGAGGAATAACCCACAAGAAACAAGTGTTCCATGTTACTAAACTTTCACAGTTGTTTGCTTTTTGAGGTATTACGCCAACAGCCAATTTTTTGAAGAGAATCCAAAACCAGGAATACAGTAGTATTTTACATCTCACCGCAACATCAGGATTCAGATTAATAAAATATGTATTTATAATGTATCTGCACCTGAAATTCATATTCCAGAAGGTCAATAGGCATCCTGTGTTTCCTAGCATAATTTTGCATAGCTGCAGTTAAGAAAGCTTGAGGAAAATAGTATCCTGACAGCCAAAAAAATGTGGGTTTCCCTAATTCATACCAGTCGTGGAAAGAGGAAAATAACACGCTCAATGATGAGAAACAGACAAGTCCCATGTTGTTTGACCTTCTTCTACAGAACTGTACTCAGAAAATCTAAGCAAAGTCTATCACTCCTTTCCTAATACTTCTTTAATGTAAACAACAATTATAAGTAGATTAAATAATAAGGTAGTGCTGCCTCTTGTACATGACCTGTAAAAATTTCAGCCTTTCTAGAAAATCTAGATATAGCTCTCTAATGGTTTTAGACTTGGATATGAATTTTTTGCCCAATTCTCAGGAACTTTTCCAATAAGTAGACTGCCACACAGAGCCTCCAGTTCAGCATCCATAACAACCAGTCATTTAATGGCTTTCTTCAGGTTAATTAATGTGCTACGGATAGTTCGGATTAAACTAGAATTTAAAAATGACACAACATTTTCACACATTTTGCATGACTTGTAAAACACAACATACTCACTGGAAAAAAAAAAAAAAAAGAAAAAAAAGGATTATGGAATCATCTACAGAACTTGTATAGCTGCTACATAACTCTGAAATTATCCACATCTGTAAAGTCACAGATTTGTGCATTTGTGGTGTTTTATCAACCAGGAACAGCTGAATAAATTATTGTGCTATTTTTGATATACTCTGTATTGTTTGGTAAGATGGTAAATTTGGAACTCCACATGTACACATTGTATACTAGATGAAGGAAGAAGCTTTAGATTACATAAGAAAACGTGGGTAGGGTCTGCAACAAAGGAAATCTTGGAGTCTGAAGGCCAGAGAGCATTATGGAAAGTCTGGAAGCTAATGAAGTGGGAGACATAAAGGGACGAATAGAAAAGGAGGACAGAGAAGAAAAGGGAAGAAAGAATGGTGAAGCAAGTGAAGATAAAAAAGAAAATTAGGAAATAAAGTCAAAAGAGAGACTGGGGAACCAAAGAGAAAAATAAAAGTGACTACCAGTTTGTAATCCTAAAAGAGTAATTGGTATGAAGCCCGTAGTGTAGGAAGAAAAGCATCATGAATGGGGAAAAAAAGCAAAAATTTAAAACAGAAGCATATGAGACAAAGAAATCAGCAGAAATATTTCTAACTATCAAGCAAAAGGTTTCATAAAATATAACTGCGTATTACAGTTTCTAATCCCTTTAACCTACAGGTCAGAAATATGACGAAAATAATATATAATCTATGATAAACAAGGTGAAAGAGGAAGTGAAGTTTAAAAAAAAGGAATACAAAAATATTGTTCACATTCTCTTTTCCAGCTGCCTTCTCAGGCTCCCTTCTTCTACCATGTGTTTTTCTCTTTCTGTTCATTTTGCCACTAGATAAGTTGTCCTTACATGCATCCCACATTATGACTTTTCAGAAGGTGTAGTGCTGCTTGGACTGCAGATATCACTGCAGACAATTAGAAGGGAACAAAATAAATAAAGTATTTCACACAACATAGGGTTTACAGTGTACAAATCACAGGAAAACTTTTTCAGCAAATGTAATGATTTCAGTTATGTTTTATTAAATATGACACTCTTACTTGTTAAATCTTTCCATTTCTTGGACCAGCACAGCGTTCGTACTTTCTTCATATCTCACAGGATATTTAATTAAGCAATTTTCAATGTCAAAATCATTTGGAAGCTGTAAATGACAACATATTTGGAAATCACTCCACATACCATTGTGTGTTGGCATTACATTAGAAGTATGCAGATGTGAAAGACTGCAGAGTAATAGATGCCATTAAGCTTTCTCTCCACCAAGGCCTCCAATCAACTTCTCTGCTCGTTTTAGTTTTCGAGCACACAGATCAACCTGGAATTCTAAATGAGCCTTTTCTCCAGATTTCTCAGTGAAAGTTCGTTCCAAAGCAGCCGAACGACTTTCAACTGCTGCAATTTTTTTCTTCCGATTCAAGAGTGTCAGTGTTTCCTCTAAGGACTGCTGTGCCTCTCTTAGACGACCTTTCTTGGGCGCAACCACCTATCAATTACAATCAATATACAAATTCTTAAAGCACACTTTTGTAACTTTATTACTGAATACAAGGCTTAGGGTGAATATATCAAACAAAGGAAAGGTTTCATAGCACCGAGGGGCAAGAACCAAAAAGGCACCTTTGCCACCCTGTCATACACCTCCATTGCCATAATCCATTTACATAAACCATCTGCTGCCGAGGAAGCTTTAGCCACCTTTTGTGGATCAAACTCAGGATTAGCCAAGTATTCAACCTGAATCTTCTGCATGGCAGCTGCCTGGATAACAAAGGTGTTAGAGCTCATCAAAGTTTTGTGGTTGACACTTGAAAACTACACTGATTGATTGCTGTTTCTCTACATCATGAAACAGGAAAAGAACTACTCAGTATTAACTGTGGTAGAAAACACTGCTCATTTGTTTGTTTTGCTTTTCCCATCACATTTTGCAGTCTTTTCTTGTTTTCATCCTAATCCTGTCCTTATGCTTTATAAGCATGCATTTGGTGTATCTGCCATATGGCACCTACCTACGTGCTAAGAGCATTACAGCCACAGAGAAGCCTTAATTTACTCTGTCCCTTGCGCAAAACAGGCTGATTTCACAGGATAACAAACAGGATGGACTACATACTCTGATACAGTTTTTAAATGTGTTAGTTTTTACTGTTTGATGAGATAGTAAATTGCAAAGTCAGAAATATTTGTGCATAGGAAGACATTCCGTTCAAATAGATGACAGCACTTACAGAAGCCTTAGAAATTCCCAAAGGGAATTCTAAAACCTTCTGAAACACTGCTTTGAAGGCTCACCCTAGGGCAGTTTGACTCACCTGCCATGACCATACCCATTCTATAGAGATATCTTATCATCTTATCCAGATTCTTGGTCATAACAGAAGTTGTCTAACTTGGCACAGAGAGTCCAAGTTCCCCTACAAGAAAGAGTCTACAGGGTAAAAACCACGATAAAATTAGACACAAGTCTTACTGGAATATTGTCCTTGTCATACACTTTCAAATCCTTTAAGAAATTCATGTCACCAAGGAGTTTTTTGCTTGGAGCCCAGTAATCCAAAATCTACAAAACAGGAGGAAATACCTTTTCAAGCTTTAGAACAACCAACCAACCAAAAAATGACAAAACTCTTTAAATTAAAAATTATGCATATTTAACACTGATGACCTTGTATCTCCTTGAGACATCAATAAGGGAGAAAGTCAGATGAGATATTTCCCCAAAACCATATCTAAAGCCAAAAACTGACAATGTCTCAGGGAAGAGTTATGTATTAACATATTTAAGTGAAGCAAAGTAAATGTGTTGCCTTTGCATATTCCAAAACTTAGAAAACTTGGAATTTCAGAAGTTTTCAGTAAAATAATGGATGGAAGCTTTAATTACTTGTTTACTGTAGTGGATGTTGGGTGAGCTTGTCCAATAAATAAGTGCTCTGTGTTGTGAAGAACACAAATTATACTTTTAACTAGTGTCTGCCATTTTACCTTGCCTCCAGTCCCTGAAGGATTTGGAATTCTTTTGGGTTTTATGTCCTTCATGTCACAGACAGCAGCCGTGACAAGTTTGACACCAGACGGAGGATTTTTCATTGATTTGACAACCGATATATCAGAAGCCTAAAATAGAAATCACATTTTAAACAATTATGACAAATGTTATGACTTTCTCACTACTAACCCAAAACAACTAACAGCAAAAAAAGGGGAGTTATCATTGCCAATGAACACAATTACAGAGGACTTTTAGAAGGAATGCTACTGTTTTAGCAAGACAGGTAACAATATCCACCAATGTACCTTATGCAAAGGAAATAAAAATTAAATAAATGCTAGTAACTGTAATCTAGTGATTAAAATCATGCTTTAAAAAAAGTCCAAGTGAGAATATTTTTGTACACTTCCACAAGTGTCATCTAAGACTTCTTATAGACACCATAACTTCTACTATACTAAATTCCTGCAGGACTTTCTCAACAATACAGCGTTCAGATCATGTGTAAGTCATAACTTAAAGAACAAAACCTTTAAGCCAAAGATCCAGATAACTCTTAGCCATAAACAAACCCATGTTACACACTGGCAGTCAATATTAACTTAGCTGAGAGAAGAAATTCAGCTGATACCAGTGCTGGTAACTTCAGGGTTTGGCTACTTCTCCCACAAGAGGGTTGTCTTACAAATAAACACTTTAAATGCACAAGCTCCCCCCCACTCTGTATTATGAGTACATGAAGAGGAAATACACTGAACCATGACTGCACAGGTCACATCTGTTGCCAAATCTGAGAAAATTTAACATTTTCCAAATTCGTTCCATCTTAGTGCATTCTTTCCTAAATAAATGGAAGAGTTTCATCATTTTATATAACTTTCCAGATGCTGAAGTTTACACCAGCTTGCCTTCAAGGTGTCAAGAGCAGCAAGTGCTGCCTCCAGGGCTGGAATCGCCTCTGCCAGGTCACTCCCACATTCATTTTTCAATGTCTGAGCTTCTTCAGCTTTTCCTGTAGCAATTTCTTCATCTGCTTTTACAGTTTTTCTTTTTTCTTCTACTTCTGCAGATTCTATTTCTATAGCCTAAAGAAAACAACACATGTGATCTTCCTGTTAAGCAGTGAATGATCAAATAAACTGAAATTACAGCACTTACAATACGCAACGTACTAGATAAGTGTACTTTTGCAAGTCAAAATTTTCAAAAACATCCAAGAGATTGGTTTCTATATCCCACCAAATTTCTATGAAGTTAACCCTTTTTAGGATCCTTTTAAAAACCAAGCATATCATCCCTGTGTATGCAAAGACAGACTGTGCAAAACTGTTCTTGTTTATTTTGTACACAGAAGAACTACATGTCATTTTTGCACTGTTTGGAATGATCTTGGGAAAACCAGTCTAACCACTACTAGCATGAAAGTTCCTCTAACACCCCTCAGCATGGAGCTTTGGCAAGGTCTGTATAGCCAGACTCTGTATCTTCCATGAAGAACAGAATTTTCTTCCAGTTCTAAGAAGGTAAGCATAAACAGTGACAAGTTTCACAATACTGCAATCCCCAGTATACAAGATGTGAGCTCAAAAACCTGAACTCAGCTCCTACTTTCTGAGTCATGTGTCAGCAGCCTTAAACAGTCATGTTCTTTAGAACATGTCTACAATCAGCTGAGATATTGAAGGAGAAGTACATTGTATGATTAGGATTCCTCATTCAAAGCCAATTATTATGAAGATGAAATTATGGATTGCGAAGATACACGTGCTTACACTAAAAACCAACAAGATGTTATTTGCATAAACCACCCTTCATCATGTTTGCATTACCCAATTATCCTCTTCCAGTCTGGGCTGCAGCTGAATTAGTTCTTGTTTCATCTCACCAACATATACGTATGCAAAAGAATCAGGTAGGGTTCAGAAGTGCCAGGTACAATTTCCCAAGATTTCTATAAGATCTAAGGTTTACCTAATGACTAATTTATTGATAGAAGGAAGTAACATTCAGTTTCAAAGCAAAACACTTCAGACACTTATGTTTATCTCGTATGTACAACCTCTAATTTTAAGAAATATGATCACTTACAAAGCTTGAGCAGAACAAAATCCAAAGCACTGCTTTTGACTAACTTCTGCAGGAAAAGACCTGCTTTTGCCATTTTATATTTTCAGTTCCATTTACGTCCTAACTTACCTGTGATTCAGCAAAAGCCAGCTTATCTAGTCCATTCATGTATTTCCTCTTGGCTCTCATTACAGCATCTCGTTTCTGAGTAAGAAGTTTCCGAAATGCAGCAATAAGCTCAAGATAAGAAGCAGGCGTAACGTAATTATGGCGTCCCAGACTTTGCAAAAGCCTATTTAAATAAAAAAATAGTATCTAAGTGATTTTTTATTAGTTTAACTACTGTTAGCAAAGTTATGAAACTGTTTGACAAATACTAGGAGTAAAAAACTTTGACAATATTATATGAAGTTTTTATGCAAGCAGATAGATAGACAGTACCTTTTAAAACAGAAATGAGCAGTAATGAAACTCAATCAACTACTGTTTTACTGTTTCTCACTTCTAAAAATTCAAATTCTGAGTTCTCTTCTGTTCAATTTGCTACTTTCAAGAAGCATAGTCTTTTCCCTTTTAACAGTTCTATAAATTAGTGAGTTGTTTTCAAAAGAAACAGACTGACCTTTCAGAGAGTGACAAAGCTGAAGTATGGAAGTATTTACTTATAGGCACAACTTCCTGATGCTCACTCTCTGTCAGCTCAAGTGTTTCTAAGAACTTATCAGCCACATGTTCAAGAGCATCTTCAGGCCGTGGCTCAGAGAGAAAGTGAGGAGAGAAGGATTTGTAAAATTCAGCTTGTTAGCAGAAAAATTAGCTGATGTCATCACCAGGCCAAGCTATAGAGCCAACTGCACTTTAGAGAGAATAACACCAACTACATCAAGGATCATTAACTACAGTAATTTTCTGAGATGTATTTTGCCATAAACTATCTACTGATAAACAACAGGACTTGCATTTGCCAGTCATTCTGATGATACATGATCTGCTTAACAGGCAAAAGATATTATGACTATTTTACAGTCATATTGAAATGGTTTGTCTAGTCCTTTAAAGCATACACATTGTGCAATAAAAGTAACAAATGACCATCATCAAACTGAGACTATGCACTACTTCGGAAATGTAAAATTTGCAGCAACACAATCTAGGTTTGCTTACTCGTAGAAATAATGAGATTGCACACCAAGAAGCTCCCAAAACATTACAAAAAATGCCTATGATACTTTAAAACTTTGAATAACATGGAGTATCTCTATACAGAAGACAAGAGTAAAATCCAGTGGATTTCTCCAAAGAGCCATGAAAATATAGACTGCTAGAAAACAGAAGTTTCCTTTCTGAAGTAGATTGTTGAGGAAACAATATAAACATTCTGACATACCTGGAACCAATCAATTGTACAGCAGTTGATGAGTGAGGGAAACTGTCTCAGATGACTGTGGAAAGCACCTCCAGTTGGGCTGAATGCTGGCACAATATGATTTTTGATGAAAAGATTTTCTTTGCAGCGGTTCACAAAGTACGCAAACAAGGCCAAGGGACAGAGTTCTTCATGTTTACTGCCAGCCTGAACTATTGTACCAACACCCTTAGGAATAATACATAGGGTAAAAACTGTTACATATTTTCTCATTCAGCACTTCTGAAGTCCTTTAGCAATTCTGCTAATGATAGCAACACCATGCAATATTTTTTTTAATTGACAAATGAAACATAAAATAAACTAAAAAATCAGAACAAGCAGTAAATATTATTTGAGAATAAGATTACAACATTTATCTGTGACCCTGACAATTCTTTCTAGAAATGATCATCTGATGCTTTGAGAAACTGTGAATACATCAGAAGGAAACCTAAAAATCCATCCCAAGATCAGTCCCAGACAGATAACATGCATTAAAGTGAGACCGAGGGTTAAGACGCACTCTGAAAAAAAAATCAAAATTCACTATTACTTCCCTCAAGAAATAATCAAAGCTTTCATACAACTATCAGGCTCAGTTACAATCCGTTGCACTCAAAGATTTAGGAGATACAAAGAGATGAGGCAAATCACTACTCTCATTACACAGAAGTCACTATCACAAACTCAAATGCTTTTCTCATCATCTATGCTTTAAGTGCCACTGAAGTCAACATTTCAAGACATGAACTTACTAAGACCTTTTTTAGTTTGAATATTATAATAAACTATGCTGCATTTGCCTAATTGGAGAGGAAGATTAAAATTTCAAGCATCAAAACATATTCCATTCATTCTTTTACCAAAACCACTAATCTCTCAAGACAAGCAGAAACCTCTAGATTTGAAGCTAAAGACTACTTCATAGAAGTATTAACATCAATTATTTAACAGTCCATGAAACATTGACTAAAAACCCCTAAAACTCAAATTTTTCTTTCACAAAACCGTGCATACTCGACATAATCACTCAGTTGAAATAAATGACAAAAATGAGTCTAGTAGCAGTAGAGTAAAATTGGAAATAGTTTGATGGAGCAGCTTTAAAGGCGTTAAGAGCAATTTTGCTCTGGTTGGCATATTATGGGATAGCTACTGAGTTCTAGCATACACCAATTGAATATGTTTGTACAAACTGTCAAATTGCAAAAGCGCCCCATTATCTGAATGTTGTTGTTATATGCCTGGCATAAATGAAACAGTAACACAGAAAGATTATTAGAATTATAATCTAAAATCTCTGCAGAACACATGGAATTCAGGTATCAACATGGTCCAGAACTTTAGTGCATGAAAACCCAGTTCAGTAACATTTATCAAGTGATACAGCTATTCCAACAACGAACATTTGTGTAGGTACTAAGAATCACTCTAAGCTCCAGCTAGAAGCATACCTAGGTCATTTATTAGTAAACTGAACTGACAAAACAGCTTAAAAGGGAGATCACATTAAAGAGAATTTCTGAAAATACCTCTATAATTTCTTGGTTTTCATCTGCTGCAAAAAGATTGGGTACCTCCCCAGTGTTGAGGACACTGTCAATATCTCCTAAAGAGCTTTCCCCTTTAATTTGTGCATCCGTGATCATAAATACAGTTTTCAAGCCTTTTACACCTGGATTCCTCAGAAGATTCTAAAATGCAAGACAGTCCATATGTTGTATATTCCAAAACATCCTTCCTCAAAATGAAGTAAAGATGCTGACAGGTTATTAATACTCACTTTCAGGTCTTCTCTCCACTCATTTGTACCATAGGTCTTACAAATCTCTGCTTGAAAAACTCACATTTTTGCCGTGAATGCTGCTAGGCGTGTCAAAGACTGACGTCCACTTCCTCCCACTCCAACCAAAAAAGCATTACCTCCTGGCTGCTTCAGAGCACACACGTTCCAGCACATACCTGTATTTGAAACGTGCCGATTACCGGAACAGCAGAAACACAGACATTTCCTAGACAGTGCACCTATGAAACTGTGGAACAAGTACACAAGCAGCATCTCCCAGACAAATTTCTGAAGGGGAGCAGGGGGGAAGAGGAAGAAAGGGAGTGAGTATGCACCACAAAATAAAACTTGCAACTCCTCTATTATACAAATACCCATATTTAGCTAAATTACTAATGCATACAAGTTACAAAAAAAATCAGCAGACGTGTGAACAGGAGCACTATATGGATAAAGGTGTTAAACAGTATTAATTCTCTACTCCTCTATCATAGCAGTACTATACTTCAAGAAAGTTAAAACTGGTAACAGTTCAAGGGCTTTTTAAAGGAACAACTGGACAGAAATGGGTTGCATCAACCAACCTCTTCTTTTGCTCTGCCTCTGATAGATTTTATAACTTGTATGTGAAACAGAGATTAGAGCAAAATCTTTAGAAAGCAGTGTCTGCACATTTCTGAGAGTCCTATCTATGTATTGTGAAAACACAAGCATAGATTCTCTTGGAAAATGCAGCAAGGCCTTCAGAAGAACACCTGCTTATGCACAGGGCATGGGGTAGTTAGAGTAAACTGAGCAGTGGTTAAAAGCGGTCTTCCAACTCAAACAAACATAGTTGTATAAACAAGTACTCGCAAATCCAGCTTGTCAAAATTACCTAGACTGAAATAAAATGCTATTAGAAGTGTAGAACCCTAATCGCCTTCACAAAGGATCTAGATGTTGTCAAGTTACACTGGCAAATATGAAGAGGCAGTAATCTCTAGCAATAGAGAAGGAGTTGTGACCTCCTAATCTGTCTCAGTTGCAGCTCTGCTTGATCACAAATTAAGGTAACAATAGCAGCCCACAGTCTAAACTTTTACAGGATGAGCTGCAGCACCAGGCTGGGTTCATGCCCCCCAAAGTGGGGCATGGCTGTGCTGCACAATACCAGCAGACAGACAGCTGAGACCGTGCTGTGCCTTACCGTGCAACCTCGCGCAACCTCAGAAACCTTGTCCTTGGTGATATCAAAGTCCAGTGGCTGCAGGCAAAACTGGCATCCATCTTATGGGGAACACTATTTGACTGATACCTTTTTGTTGTCATCCAGAACTGTGTTCATGTTTTTTATCCACAAAGTATCAATTGGGCCATCAAAGACAACCCATTTGCGTTCAGGAGTCTCAGATGACACAAAGTCTCCGAAAGTATTGGCAATTATACCATCTGTCCACTGTAGGGGTGGAACACAGGGACAAGAAGTAAGACATAGCACACAGTTCAAACTGCAAGGAACAGAAAACCCTCCCACTTCATTTTCATTATTCCTCTGTTATTTTTCTCTTGTTTTGTATAGCATCATACAGCTTCGCAGTTTCATGGAGGGTCATGCAACATCAGAAATTTTAAGATAGTGGTTTTTTTCACTTCAAAAGATATTGTGACAAACAGAAAACATGCAAGTCCATTTACAGAAATTTGCAAGTGCTTCTGCTCTGTTTTGAATCTGTTTCTCTCCAGAGTTGCCCTAAGTTTCACTATTCCACATTCACCACTCCACACTGTTTCTTCTCCAAATCTAAGCTTCATACTTGGGGACCCATGAGTTCATAAGTTCTAGATAGTTTTTGCATTACTTTGATTATACTGACTAGGAATAGACAAAGAAATGAATACAGTTAAGTTTGGAGTGATTTCCTACCTTGGAAGTAACTATATTAGGACAATGACCTTCAGAATGGTATTAGTTTTTTTTTTCATATTTAAACTCACAGAACTGCATACAGACTTGGTACTGCTGGTTCTTTATATATATGCTACTTTTGATCAAGCCATAAAAGTACTAGTTAAAATAAAACAGCTGTGTTCTCATTTGTGTTTAAAGTAATAAAATTATTAATTCAACAGATCATTATCCAGAATTGTGGAGGTCTGACATTTTTTAGCTCCTAGGCTTTAACCCATACCGGTAATGCTTGCTTTTTTTGCAGAAAAAAAACAGACAAAGAAATGTTGTCTGGAATTGGGACTTAAAACTCAGAAGCAGGAGCCTTGTAACCTGCCTATCCTGCCCTCTGAAAACAACTGCAAATGACACCAGGAGTTAACATGTAGTTAGAACATACTTACACAACTGCACTCCTACAAACACCGTGAAAGCCACAGCAGGTGAGAGAGGAAGAAACAGAAAAAGGTGGGCAATTACTGTATGCTATTTTTAAAACATACATTACCTCATGGGATATTGCATCAAATTGCCCAAAAAGCTGACCCAGGGTGATTGATTTTGGATTCACAGTTCTCAAAATTACTTTTTCTTCTCCACCGTAACCACGCTCTTTCATAAGAGACAGTGTATCTGCCAACATGTGTAGAATTGTGGTGTTCCCAGAAAAAGATTCTACCAGCATAAAGCTGTTAGATGGAAAGAAAATGCTATTAATAAATTTGTCTTGCAGTTTAGACTTTCACAGACCACACGAAAGCAAATAGCATCATTCGTAAGTTTAGACCTAATATTCACCATATATTCAAAGAGCAGAGCAAGTAAATTTAGCTTGTATATGTGAAATATTATTTATGCAAAATAGTGTATTTGGACAGGCAAATCTGATTGTACAGTCACTGTATGCAAGCTGTCTTCTAAAAGGTAGATTTACCAGCACACTAGTGCACTTACTTGCTGAATCAAAGATGACTTTCTTGTTTCTTCCCAGCCTATCTAGACAGAGTTTATAACAAAGTTCTGGATGAACATAAACAGTAGGAACATACTACACACACTCATAAAAAAAAAAGAAATCTAATTATCTTTGCCCACACATCAAAATGGCTTTTAATAGTCACCCAGCAGAGCAATGCGATTGTAATAATGTCACACTGAAGATAATAATAAATGAGCTGAATATTAACAATGGTATTGCTGATTTAATATTGTATCTATTTTCTCTACACGTTTGCTATTCCACTAAAAAAAGCTGGGAATAAAATTGCAGGCATCTCGTAACTCATATGTGCAGTCCTACATCTTCGCCATGCCAATACCCACATCTCAAGTCCTTCTACAGGTAAGACTACTTCTGATGTCAGGAGTAGTAGAACTCCCCAGATGTACATTCACAAGAATTTTGGGACACATAAAAGCAGTATTGCTGATCAGCTGCTCCAATACAAATAGAAACTTTTTGCCACCCTTAAAACCTTTTATACTTGATATAAACAACCACTATGGTAGAAGCCAAAATTACAGGTACTGCTTGTGAAACAGTAATGAGAATCTTACCCGAGTCTAGCAATCATCATTTCATATGTCTGTATCATTTTCTCTGTAAAAGCTTTGACCAGTTGGACATTATGTTGAACACAACATTTGCCGGCACATTCCAAAAAATGCCTGAAATCAAAACAGATCATACTACAATGTAACAGACCATAGTAGAATTTAAATTACTATCTTGGGCTACAGTAGAACACTTTAAGCTCATCAATAAGAATTTCAAATTAATTACTAACTGAAATAGTATTAATCACACACAGTATCTCCCGGGGAGGGGGAACAAACCCCACTTCTGTACTTCATGTGCTGTAACAGGAGTTAACTACAATTTTTATCTTGTGGAGAAGGCATATCATCATCACAAAATCAACAGTGTCCTTTGGAACAACGCGCTTTTAACAAGACTCTAGTATTTACTGGACATTTAAAAAAGTCAATTAATTTTGTCTTTTACAACATGCTCATCTCCTTCCCAACCATCCTTTTACAAAGGAGCTATGCTTTAGTTGTGGCTATAAACAGAAAAAAACCAAAACAAACACAAACCTTAATCTCATTTAATTATGGCCAAAAATTAGGAAAGAAATCACCAAAAGACCCTAAAATTTGGAAAACCTGTAGGTCAATTTCTGATCTGCACAATGCCTCACACAGCCCTTCTGGATGTAAGGGAACTCAGATGTGGATTATACTCAGAACACATACAAGGAGTTTCTTTGATTTTAAGTTTCATTGCAAACATTCAACCATTTTCCTTATCTTGTAATACCTCAAAATTTACTGTATTAATTACACTTGGTTAAAAACAAAACACCACAACGATTATGACAGAGGAAAAATTATGAGTGTACTTACCCTGTGGTCTGCAGCAGGAAGCTTGCTTCCAGGAAATAAATCACTAGCTATATCATTGAACAGAAGTATATCATGCAACAAAAATTTGGGCTCATTCACATCCTTAATTCATCTAAGACACTAGAGGAAACAAATACACATTTTACTGCTCTTATTGAAAACACAGAATAAACTATTCAGCAATTAAAATAATCTAATATGTAATAAAGATTAATTACTTAAATGATGCCTTTGGTAAGCAGTTCAGCACACCTGTGTGATTATCAGCGTAGCACTGGGAAGTACAACATATATTTTATCATCTTCATTTTGCAAAGTAAGAAACTTGGATCAGCTATGTGACACGACACGGTGGAACTGCCTTCAGAACTCAGAACTGTGCATTTGTAAAATCCCTTAAGAATTACTCCCTCAAGAACTCACCAATATATCTTCATCTTCAGTGGGAAGTTTCAATTTTAGATTCGCAGCAGCCACCAACACAGCTTTAACTGCTCACATACCATAGTCATAGGGATACTGTGAGATAAGCTGTTCTGAAGAAAGCCTGTAGGTCATTACTATCTTCACTGACTTAGCATTCAAAAATCCATACAAATAGAGTGAAATTTCTGCTATCAGAGCATAGTTAGGAACCATCATGGCTACTGTTCGGAAAAGAACCTGAAAAACATCCCCAAAGAAACACCTTTAAGTGATTAATTGAGACATGGAAAGTAATTCAGAGCTTTTGCAAATGATGGATCAGTATTTGTCCCATCACAGCATTTCTAACAGAAAACAGCAATGGCATTTAAAATTAAGTACTTCTTAGCCACATTAGGTAAGCTGTGGATCATTTAAAATAGTGACACTGGAAAGCAGTGGGCTGCAGAGCATTTGGGAGCCAGTGAAAAAGAGAACTATCAGTGCTTGCAGCTTCTGATGGTGTAGCTCCTGAACACCACTTTTAAATAAGACTGGAATAAATGCAGTATAGAAATACTTTCTTAAAGTATTTTTTTCCCAACACCTCCATCTTAAAAAAAGTTAGCATTCAAATCTTATCATCTACCCACAACCTCACACTTGCCAGTTTACCTGCTGTAACATTACAGTCTTTGGCCTGTAAAAAGAATATTGAAAAACACTAACAGATATAAGAAAGGTAAAAAAAAAAAAAAAATTCCAATTTTTCCAAAAGAACAAAATATTTTGGAAAAAAAAGAGGCTTCGCGTGTGTAAAACCTATAACAAGCATATGTTTATATTGCAGGTGGTGCAGTCTGTACTAATACCACCAATACATGTCCCCCATTTTTTTTTAAAAAAATCATTCTTAAGCAGAAGCAGGTATTTTTTTATTTTACCTTCAGATTATCTGAAAGTTCAGAATGTCCTGCATAGCCTGGATTCGTTGTAATAACTACAAAACAGTTGGGATTAAGCTTCAGTTCAGTTCCTTCAAAAATAAATGTTTCTATCCTCATCTGTATGGCTCTCTAGATGCAAAGGATCTGCTGTGCCACAACAGACAGTACTTCCAGTTCCATGCGATTGAATTCATTGAGACGTGCCCATGCACCTGATGAAGCCAAACCCTTGAAAATCTACAAATGAAGAAAAATAGCAATAATATTGCCAACAGAATCTTAGAACTTTCAAAAGAAGAGTATCATGTTGGAAGTTTAATTCCATGAAAGATACAACTGTGATAATAATATTTAATTAAGCCTTCTGAGAGCAAAGATCAACGATGTACTGAAGAACAAAGTATTTTCTTAGTTCTAAAGAAAGTTGTATCAGAAGATCTTGATCCTGTTTCATCTTTTCATTAGGAACTGAATAGGGTTTCCTAAAGCACAGAAAATTAAACATATGTAGAAAAGGGTATATAGTGCCCAAAGGCAGCAGACCACAGGAGTCACATTTATGTGTGTGCTTATACAAAGAAGGGATCCTACAATTTTAATCTTAAAACATAAAATACAAAATACATTCATTTTCTATTTACCTTTCCCATTGCCAGGTAATCAAGGCCATCAGAGCAGCTGAAGACAACACACTGAACAGCAAGAGCTTTAGCCAAATCTTTGGTGGTTTCTGTTTTACATGTTCCTGCTGGACCCTCCAGGGCACCACCAAGGTTTAAATAAAAGGCTCCAATTTAACAAACAGAAATACTTTATGGAAATTATTCACATGATAACATTCTGAATGAAAACTTTAACTTAAATTCCACCAGACAGTTTCATAGACTCATCAGATCTAACATAAAAAGTATGGTTGCACTAATTAAAAAATAATCTGAAATTTACTTACAGCTTCAAATTTATACAAGAGAATGGAATTTCGACCCTAACAGGGACTTTAGTTTTATTATCATCATGACCACGACGGTTAGTTATTCAAACTTTATTGGACCAAATATTTCAGTTCTTTCTTAGATACTTCTTTCAATTTAAATCTGATGCAATTACTTGGTTGCTACTCTTTTCTACCTTTGTTTCTCCTTTGATATATTTTCTTCTTTTTTTTAATCTTTCCCACACTGTCCCCCTTCATTGCACATATATTCCATCGGCCATTCATATTCTCTCCTTTATTCCATTGAATCAGGAGAAAACTGACAGAAAAAATAAAGCTGCAGACTCTAAACAAAAACTCAGATCTATCTGACTTCTGATCCACAGTTACAGTGCCACATCTTTACTGGCAAGCACTGGAATACTGTATTTAAGACAGACTATCAGCTGCATCACCCTCTCATTCCTATGTAGCCTGATCTTTTGACACATAGGTACCAAGCATCAGCTACAACCATACCACAAAAGCTGAAGGCTCAAAGAATGCCTTGTTCAGGTCTTTTCAGACCTCTTCTTTCTGAAATTGTACTGAGTTCACAATTAGGTCTTCAAAGGATGAAAATTATCATCTTACAACAGCAGGAGGACGGGTGAGGAGAAAAACTCAAAACCATACTCCAGCAAAATAAACTGCTGTCAATAGTCAGAATAAGCCAGGTCTGAGATGACTTGGGTAACTTGCAGCTGTCAGGTTAGTTGAGGATAGACCAGTACAATACTAAGCACCTCTAACAAGAGCAGGGGTACTAAAAAGTTTCTGAGCTTAGGAAGATGATCACAAGTGGATCCTTCCCCACTTAATATAGTGACTATAGAACATCAGAAAAGAATTTCCTGTTCTCAAAATTCAGATAGCAATGAAAATATTTGGTGTTTTTTTCTATTTTAAAAAAAAATCATCCTCCACAACCGAAAAATCCACTAATATTTCAGTCACGTTAGTGGGCTGTCCAGGTTTCTTCTTATAAATCAGTTCCATGTTCAGTATTCTATAGAAATTATAATCTTTGAAAACCACACTACAACAGAAATAGCAGAGTCTGACAGCAACTGCAAGCCCTAAAATTATGTCTGTAATGAACAGTGTAAAAAATAGTATACTACAGTGAATACAGAACGTAGCACTGCTGGCAGATCATACCAAGGTGCGGTAAGTCCTGTCTGTCAGAGGGGCGATGACAAGGTGGGGTGAGTTTCCAAGGTGTTCATAGGCATATTTCACGTTGCAATTAATGACGCGGACACAAACGGTCTCAAATTCCCAATAATACCAGAGTTGTGCAAGCCACTGAAAGTCTGTTTCACTTTGCACGCCTGCAAAACACAGAATTGAAAGTGATCATAAAAGATTTTTACATAACTGGATTTTCCATTAATCCATCAATAACCCACAAATCAATTAAACCTCCATTAAATTTAAAAAACCTTTGAAATTATTAACACTGATGCTCGCACCCAAATACACACATACATCTCTTAATACCGTGGTGTTGCAGGCAGCAAAATCAGATTGGTTAGCTGTTTTTAATTAACTGTGTATTAAGGCACATGTGAAGAAAAACACCTAAAAGATAATTACCACTTTGAATCATTTCCATGAGGACGTCTCTAGCATGAACATCAAGAGTAACCAAGGCACCAGTGTAGTCCTTGTTTGCTTTGATAGTTTTCCTCTTACCAGCTCTGCAATATCATTCATTTGAAGCTGAAGGGTATCATAACAATCCTTTAAACCCTAGGAGGGAAAAAAAAAGTAAATATGAAATGGATTATATGACAGTTTCAAGTGTTCCAGACTTCTTCACCTTGGCTAAACACCTTAGTGGAGATTGCTTATTAAGCCATTCTTTTACACTGTCATGTTTTTGCATTAACTTTTCTCTCATTCAGTTATGCATTTTGTGTTGCAAAGCTACATTTTAACCTGTTTGCTCTAAAGAAGAATATTTAAAAACCAGTTCAGAAAGTGTAACTTAGCTTGAGATGAATTTTCCCAAATACAGTTCTCACTTTAGTGCTAACTAAAGTGTTATCTTTTAACCGCTTAACCACCAGGTAACATCCAGGATGCTAACAATTACAAATTCTGTTTCATCTCCCTGCAACAAGGAACTCTTAGTTTGCAGCTCAATCACAACAGGGACACAGATAAACCAGAAAGGCCACACTAGATCACAGGAGATATCCAGCCAGCCCAGTATCCTGTCCCTGAAGCAGACAATAGCAGATAACTCTGGAAAAGGCTGGAGAGGCTGCCTGGAAAGGGTAGATACTACTAATGTTCACTGAGTGTGCTTGAATATTTCCTACACAAACCAGCAAAGAACTGGTAGGGGGCATAACTGCAAAGCAATTACACCAGCTTCTCTCCTGTCAATAGTCATGGTGTTAGCAACACAAAGACTACTCTAGCCCTGAAAACACAAAAGCAAGTGTAAAGCAATCCCATCGTTGCTCTGAGGCCTGATTAAAAAAACCTTCTCCCAACTCTCAAGATGTTTCCTTGCCCAGACAAAAACACTATAGTAAAATATGTGAGTCCATAACTCAATTAAATCACTAAATGTTCTTATTAACAGCAATAAGAACACAATTTCCAGTTTTTAAGAATTAAGTTTAAAAGCACTAACAGAAATAGTGAATTTGCAAAGTATGCAAAAAAATAATCACCTTCTTTTAGTTGCTTTTGAGTCTGAAGAGGGCATTTCAACACAGAAATAATTTAAGTAGGACTTAACGTGACTCAAAAGAACCTTGCTGAAAAATCAACGAAAGCATTTCATTAACAAGTGAAGCAAAGCTGGGATACAACTGGCATACTCTTGCATTATAGTTATCCTGCAAATAAAAATGTTAAAAAAAAATAGTACTCATCATACCCTGATTTCTTTGTCAAATGCTTTGATGAAAGGTGATCCTCTCATTGTCTGAGTTTTCACAATCTGATCATCAGGAATGGCTTGATTCTCATCCACTGCAGACAGACTATGAATACCAGACTCAAGATACATAGATGTGTAGAAGGAAATTGAATCCCGGGTCTCCTGCACGGCACACATTGTTTTCTCTTGTGGCAATGTATTTAGAGGAGCAGGGCCATCCAAATGCAGGTTATATGCAACTTTAGGCCTTATGCTCTGTGTGCCACATGAGCTAGCAGTTTTAGGCCTCATGTTCTATGCGCTACGTGAGCTCTGTGCGGTACGAGTACAGTTGAAGGCCATAGGGATGCAGGTGGACGAGAAACAGCCGGTGACGCAGGATGTGAGAAGAATGTACGGGGAGATAAGGGGACTAAAACAGAGAAGTTGGAATGTAGAAATAATGACCAAAATGATAAACAGGATCTAAGGAGGACAACGATTATTAGCAGCCGACTTCTGTTAATTTACATGTGCTAGTTTCATGTGCTATGACCGTAACCAATGAACAATAGCCACGCTATGTATAGAGCCAACAAATTGTAACCACAGTGCACAAACAATAAGAAGCTGAGGTATAAAGGTTCTGATGCTCTCTTCAATAAACGGCTTGTGCTATGATCATATTGGTCTGTTGCCAAGTCCTTCGCTTGCTCCCACATCTGGCACCCAAACAGGGACCCTTCGAACTTAGTCTGTGCGATGACCAAGAGACGCACCGGACTTGGTCTGTGAGTCAGTCGGAAGACCCTCCAGACTTAGTCTCTGTTAGTCTCTGCACGGACAACAGGTTGGGGGAAGCGCGGGAGGACCCTGGACAGAGAGGACCATCTGGAACGTGTCTGCCGCTCTGCAAAGGAGAAGACCCTGTGAGGCAGCCCTGTGAGGTGACTGCAGCACTGCGATATCCCTGTGAGGTGAACGGTCAGTGGGTGGAGAATGGGAACACAGTTAAGCAAGGAAGAAGAAGCCGTGGTTAAACTCCTCCAGCATATTCTCTCTAAGAGAGGTTTGAAATATGAAGAAGCATGCTTAAAACGCCTATTACAGTGGTGTAAGGACAGGGACCTTTCACCTGGTGTTGATGCAGCCTTTGAACTCAGCACCTGGGATGCCATAGGGACAGCCCTATGGCATGCAACCAGTGATGGGTCTAGAGAAGCAAAAGGCTATGCAACCCTCTGGAAGCTGGTAAAAACCATGCTACATGAACTAAAGGTGGAGCACACAGCTGCTGCCTCTGCATTTGTGGCATTGGGACCAAATGGCAGGGCAAAAAAGCATTGCTGTGGTGGTCGTAATCTTTCCGCCCTCACTTTTGACTTTAATAATATGCCACCCCCGAATCATAGAATCATAGAATCAT